TGACTTACTTGTTTGACATTCTGCAATATCCATAGAACAAACACCATATTTGTTGATTTTATTCCCATCTGATTTTCCCCCCTCTACCCAGCTTTCACATATATAGAGAAAAATCATGATATCCTTTCAGGTATTTAATGATGCCTGTATTTAATAATGTGTCAACTGTAAAATAAGATGCACAAAGCTGATTGGTCAGGCTATGCCTGGGGAGATGGTTGAGCCTAGGACTTTTGTATACTGTTACATTTTTCAGGCTTGAGCTATGCAGGTGCTTACAGAGAAGCAGAGAAGAGGGACAGAGTTTGGAGTGTACTCTCGCTTCATAAGCTGCTGGAAAGAGTTTATCCACATGGACAAATAAAGACCATTTTAAATCTCTGTAAATAAAAATGTAATGTTCGTTTGTGGGATTAACATAACTCAAAACCCACTGGGTGAATTGACACCAAATTTGGACACAATACGCCTATCAGGCCAACGAGTGACCATCACTCATAAAAACACTGAAAAACACAGCAGAAGGGACTTAAAAAGCCAAAAAGTAAAAATAACATTACAATGCATGCGCAAAACCATACACACACACACACACATATACACAGATATATACACACAAAACACATATACACAGGACTGGGCCACAGCAATGCGTGACAGGGGATGGCTAGTCTCTCATAAAAGGACTTTATGTGAGTCGATGGAACTAATAATGTGATTGTAAATATGTGTTTTCTGAACAACGAAGAGCAGAATCATAGAATCAAAGAGTTGGAAGAGACCTCATGGGCCATCCAGTCCAACCCCATATGGACAAGAAGCAGGAAAATTCAATTCAAAACACCCCAACAGATGGCCATCCAGCCTCTGTTTAAAAGCCTCCAAAGAAGGAGCCTCCACCACACTCCGGGGCAGAGAGTTCCACTGCTGAACAGCTCTCACAGTCAGGAAGTTCTTCCTAATGTTCAGATGGAATCTCCTTTCTTGTAGTTTGAAGTCATTGTTCCGCGTCCTAGACTACTTGTTCTTTACTGTTCATCTGCGTAGCATATTTTCTTTCTCTGGAAAGGCAGTGTGTGAACTATGCTTCAGTTTCATTTCGTCACAATGCCTACCTTTTAGCTTTCCGCCTTCCCTTCTCTAAGCTACTCTGTCCTGGATTGAGGTCAGATTGGGAAGTAGCTGGGTTTTTTTCAATATCAATGTGATTGAATGGAACGGAGTGACCTCTCTTCCCAGCCTGAAGCTTAAAGAGCTTACAGCCCATCTACGTGCTTTTTCCCTCCACTCACCTCCACTTGCAAGCCACAGTCGGAGGACGGAGGTGACATCAAAGGAAAGCCATTCCTTCTCCTCCTTGAGCTTGACCAGACGACTGTCCAGGTAGTACCAGCTGGACATATTTGAAGAATGATTCTGTTCCTGGGGAGAGATGGAAAACAATGGGAGCAGTAAGGACACACTTTCTTAGATATCGCAGATAGAAATCAGGACAAGAGTGATCAAATGACATCAAGGCTTGGCCTGCCTGAAGAGCCATGTTTTCAGACTCACCCAGAAGAGAGGGGGCTAATCTAATTTCTTTAGGGAGGGTATTCCAGAACCAGGGAGCCACTACCGAGAAGGCCCTCTCTCTCATTCCAACCAACCATGCTTGAGACAGTGGTGGGACCGAGAGGAGGACCTCCCCAGCATATCTTAATGCCCATGCTGGATTGTAGAAGGGGATGAAGACTCCAAGATAGGTTGGACCCGAAGCATAAACATGCAAATGTGAGTAGATCAATAGGTACCACTTCGGCGGGAAGGTAACGACACTCTATAATTATTATATAGAAATATATATTATTATATACTACGTGATTATTATACATAAATATATTATATATTAGATTGTTATTATTATATAGAAATATATATTATTATTATATATTATATTGGATTGTTATTATATACAAATATACTCTGACATATATTTGTATATAATAATAATCCAATATAATATATAATATACTGTATGTATGGGCAAGTGTGTATGTTTTGTATGTTTTGCACGTTTTGATATGGTCAAAATTGACGAATCAATAAAGAATCGTCATTATATACAAATATAAAAAGGCAAAAGGTTTTCCCCTGACATTAAGTCCAGTCGTGTCCGACTCTGGGGGTTGGTGCTCATCTCCATTTCTAAGCTGAAGAGCTGGCGTTGTCCTTAGACACCTGCAAGGTCATGTGGCCAGCATGACTGCATGGAGCGCCGCTACCTTCCTGCTAGAGCGGTACCTATTCATCTACTCACATTTGCATGTTCTTGAACTGCTAGGTTGGCGGAAGCTGGGGCTAACAGCGGGAGCTCACACTGCTCCCCGGATTCAAACCTGTGACCTTTGGGTTAGCAAGTTCAGCAGCACAGCGCTGTAACTCACTGTGCCACCAAGGGCTCCAATTATTCTATAGAAATATATATTATTATATATTATATATATTTCTGTATTATAATAATAATGTAATATATCATTATTATATAGAAATATATATCATTATATATTACATTATTATACAAAAATAATTATAAATTATAGTATTATTATTATTATATAGAAATATATATTATTATATATTATATTGGATTAATATTATATAAAAATATAAAAATGCAAAAGGTTTTCCTCTGACATTAAGTCAGGGGGTTGGGGCTCATCTCTAAGCCAAAGAACCGGCATCATCCATAGACACCTCCAAGGTCATGTGGCCGGCATGACTGCATGGAGCGCCACTACCTTCCCGCCCGAGCGGTACCTATTCATTTACTCACATTTGCATATTTTCAAACTACAAGGTTGGCAGAAGCTGGGGCCAACAGCGGGAGCTCACCCCACTCCCCACCCCAAAGTTTCGACCTTTCGGTCAGCAAGTTCAGCAGCTCATCAGTTTAACCCACTGCACCACAATGAGTATAGAAAATTATTATAATTATAATTATTATTTGAAACACAACAAGATGAGTCCACAGCAAACAAGATCACTCTGCTGGCGGTTGTATTGGATCACATGTCGGACACTTCCCAGTGTCTAGGACTGTGTGTTGTATTGGCGAATAATGCATGGTGATGTTGATGATGATGATAATGATGATGATGATGATGCGTTCAGTCGTCTCCGACACTTCGTGACCTCATGGACCAGCCCACGCCAGAGCTCCCTGTCGGCCGTCACCACCCCCAGCTCCTTCAAGGTCAGTCCAGTCACTTCAAGGATGCCATCCATCCATCTTGCCCTTGGTCGGCCCCTCTTCCTTTTTCCTTCTACTTTTCCCCAGCATAATTGTCTTCTCTAGGCTTTGCTGTCTCCTCATGATGTGGCCAAAGTACTTCAACTTTGTCTCTAGTATCCTTCCCTCCCTCTTATTATATAGAAAATGTGTGGTACCCGTCGGCTTATAGCAACCCCATGTGTATCATAGTGTTTTCTTAGGTGAGTATTACTCAGAAGTGCTACTGCCAGCTGCTTTCTCTAAAATATTGATTTCATTGCCATATTTTTTGGCTGTCTCCCATCCAAGTCCTTACCGGGGCTGACCCTGCTTAGCTTCCGTGATCAGATAGAGTAGTGGTTCTCAACCTGTGGGTCCCTAGGTGTTTTGGCCTACAACTCCCAGAAATCCCAGCCAGTTTATCAGCTGTTAGGAGTTTGGGAAATGAAGGCCAAAACATCCAGGGACCTTTGGTTGAGAACAACTGCTTTAAGGTATTGTGCAGAGCAATAGCATCACCAGGGATGCCCTTAAGTTTTGGACTTTGGCCCAGAAAAAGTCCAATCCAAAGCCAGAAAGAGGCAATCTTACTGACACTGGACTTTTGTTGTGTTCCCCTTTACCTGGTAAAGCTCCAGGCGCTGCTGCTCTTGACTTTTTCCCGAGACCCGCATCCTCAGCTCGGCGCGGTACAGCAGTTTGGGATCCTGGAGAGTGGTCAGGATCTGCGACAGGTTGAACCCAAAGAAGGTCCTGGAGGAGTTCTTCTTGTACTGCTCCCTGTAACTTTCTGCACCAGGAGAGAAGAAGCAAGGAGGCGTCAAAGAAGCTGTGTTTTTAAATTCACTCCAGTTCTATTTCAACCTTGATCCGGTTATTTATTTCTTCATGGAGGATGTCTTGGGGAGAGAAGCTTCTCCGATCCTCTGCCAAAAAGTTTTGCAAGCATACAGGTGCAAACTGCTTAGCATAAATTTGCCAAGTGAATGGAAAACAAAGCTGCAGGTTGCAAGTGAGCTGAGACTAGGGCAGTGTTTCTCAACCTGGGGGTCGGGACCCCTGAGGGGGTCGCAAAGGGGTGTCAGAGGGGTCGCCAAAGACCCTCAGAAAACACAGCATTTTCTGATGGTCATGGGGATTCCACGTGGGAAGTTTGAGCCAATTCTATCATTGGTGGAGTTCAGAATGTTACTTGATTGTAATGAACTATAAATCCCAGCAACTACAACTCCCAAAAGTCAAGGTCTATTTTCCCCAGGCTCCACCAGTGTTCACATTTGCACATATTGAGTATTTGTGCCAAGTTTGGTCCAGATCCACCATTGCGTGAGTCCACGGTGCTCTCTGGATATGGGTGAACTACAACTCCCAAACTCAAGGTCAATACCCACCAAACCTTTCCAGTGTTTTCCGTTGGCCATGGGAGTTCTGTGTGGCAAATTAGGTTCAAACCCATCGCTGGTGGAGTTCAGAATGCTCTTTGATTTTAGGTGAACTATAAATCCCAGCAACTACAACTCCCAAATTACAAAATCAATCCTCCCACAACCCCACTAGCGTTTACATGTGGTTGCATTGGGTATTTGTTTCTCTCTGTCTACTCCAACTGATGCAAGCGGAGTGCAAAGTGCAAAACACATGGAGGGCCGAAGTTTGCCCATGCCTGGTCTACACTGACCATATAATGCGGTTTAAAAGTCTACCAATGTTGAAACTGAGGACACATCTATACTACCATATGCAGTTTCAGAATGAAGCTTAACTGCATTGAACTGCATTATATGGCAGTGCAGACTCATACAATTGCATTTCAATGCAGTTAAACTGTATTATATGACAGTGTTGATAGGGCCTGAGATGACTCCTGACACCATTGTACCACTAATTGTTGTCTCTCCCGTTTTTTCCAAATAGAGGACCTTTCGCTTGCCCTCCTGGATGCATCTCCACTACAAAACTAACACAGTTTCACACTGCTTTAACCACCATGTCTCAATGCAATGGAATCATAGGAGTTGTGTGTTCTGTCGAAGGCTTTCATGGCTGGAATCACTGGGTTGTTGTAGGTTTTTTGGACTGTATGGCCATGTTCCAGAAGCATTCTCTCCTGATGTTTCATCTGAATCTATGGCAGGCATCCTCAGAGGTTGTGAGATCTCACAACATCTGAGGATGCCTGCCATAGATGCAGGTGAAATGTCAGGAGAGAATGCTTCCAGAACATGGCCATACAGCCCGATAAACTTACAACAAGCCATAGGAGTTGTGGTTTGCAAGGTCTTTAAACTTCTCCTCTAAAGAGGTCTTGTGCATCACTAAACTACAAATTTCAGATTTCCATGCCATTGTCTCTTCACAGTTAAAGTGGTATTGTTCATTCGTTCAGTCGTCTCCAACTCTTCGTGACCTCATGGACCAGCCCACGCGAGAGCTCCCTGTCGGCCGTCACCACCCCCAGCTCCTTCAAGGTAAGTCCAGTCACTTCAAGGATGCCATCCATCCATCTTGCCCTTGGTCGGCCCCGCTCTTCCTTTTGCCTTCCACTTTCCCCAGCATAATTGCCTTCTCTAGGCTTTGCTGTCTCCTCATGATGTGGCCAAAGTACTTCAGTTTTGTCTCTAGTATCCTTCCCTCCAGTGAGCAGTCGGGCTTTATTTCCTGGAGGATGGACTGGTTGGATCTTCTCGCAGTCCAAGGCACTCTCAGAACTTTCCTCCAACACCACAGCTCAAAAGCATCGATCTTCCTTGGCTCAGCCTTCCCTAAGGTCCAGCTCTCACATCCGTAGGTTACTACAGGGAATACCATGGCTTTGACTAGGCGGATCTTTTTTGCCAGTCTGATGTCTCTACTCTTTACTATTTTATCGAGACTGGACATTGCTCTCCTCCCAAGAAGTAAGCGTCTTCTGATTTCCTGGCCACAGTCTGCATCTGCAGTAATCTTTGCACCTAGAAATACAAAGTCTGTCACGGCCTCCACATTTTCTCCCTCTATTTTCCAGTTGTCAATCATTCTTGTTGCCATAATCTTGGTTTTTTTTACGTTTAGCTGCAACCCGGCTTTTGCGCTTTCTTCTTTCACCTTGATTAGAAGGCTCCTCAACTCCTCCTCGCTTTCGGCCATCAGAGTGGTGTCATCTGCATATCTGAGGTTGTTAATGTTTCTTCCAGCAATTTTCACCCCAGCTTTGCATTCATCAAGCCCCGCACATCGCATGATGTGTTCTGCATACAAGTTAAAAAGGTTGGGTGAGAGTATGCAGCCTTGCCGTACGCCTTTCCCAATCTTGAACCCGTCTGTTGTTCTGTGGTCAGTTCTGACTGTTGCTACTTGGTCCTTGTACAGATTCCTCAGGAGAGAGGGAAGGGGGCTTGGTATGCCCATCCCACCAAGAACTTGCCACAATTTATTATGATCCACACAGTCAAAGGCTTTAGAATAGTCAATGAAGCAGAAATAGATGTTTTTCTGAAACTCCCTGCCTTTCTCCATTATCCAGCGAATATTGGCAATCTGGTCTCTCGTTCCTCTGCCTTAAAGCAGTGGTATTAAACTGCTTTATTTCTACAGTGTAGATGTATCCCCATTCCCCTCTATAGTGCATTTAGCTTCTTGGATCCACCAGCCTTTGCTTCTCTTTTTGGTCCTTGTTTGCAAAGATCAGAGTCCATGAAAAAGAAAAAAGACGACACAGCTCTGCCTTCGTCTTTCCCATTCCATACCTGTATCTCGTTTTCAAGCAGAACTGCCTCTGGTAAAAATTTGGACCGACATCTTAAGTGAATTAATAGCAGTCGGTATTCCGAAAAGCAGGATTTTATTCCTTTTGGCAGCCAGAAAGCCTTGGATCCGACCCAGCGTTACGCATGCAAATCTCAACAGGAAAAGGCAAGGGGAGAAGCTGGAGGCTGAAGCCAAGATCAATAAAACAGAACCCAGAGCATCAAAGCCGTGATTGCAGATGTGTCTCATATTTATAACTGTTTTCGCCTTGGCTTCTGCCTGTTCGCACAAACACATACGGCCCAGCCGGCTCCGAGAAGGACCACTGGATGCATGTATGAAGTCACATCCCTGAGCATGCCATCCAATGCCCAATCCCATTTTACAGACACTGAGATCTGGCTGAAATATCCAGTCCGGGAAGCTAGGAAAAGTTACTTCGGGGGGGCGGGGGGCAGGACTTCTAGAAATTCTAAGCCAATAGCACATGGCCACTATAGGGTTATAATTCAAAGAAGCAATTTTTTCCCACCTCATGGTGGTTACAATGGAGTAAAAGTGTGCTAATTCTACAGTGTAGATGTACCTTAGGCTGAGATATAAGCTATTTGATTTGACCTTCTTCACCTTTATAGCAAACATGAAAGGAAAGTCAGACAAGATAGACAGACAGACAGATAGATAGAATAAATAGATAATAGGCAGGACAGTCAGGATGGATGGATAGGCTGAATAAATAATTGGATAGATAGATAGATAGATAGATAGATAGATAGATAGATAGATAGATAGATAGATAGATAGATAGATAGATAGATAGATGATGGATAGATAGATAGATAGATCAATAGATAGATCAATAGATCGATAGAATAGATGATAGAGTTGGTGGATGAATGGATGGTTAATTGGATGGACTGATAACTGGATGGATAGGATAGATGGATGGATGGATGGATGGATGGATGGATGGATGGATGGATAGATAGAGATAAGAAGATAAATAGAGAGGACAGACAGGATGGATGGATAGATGGATGGGATGGGATAAATGGATAATTAGATAGAAAGATAGGTAGATAGATAGATAGATAGGATAGATGATAGAGTGGATGGATGGAATGATAATTGGATGGAATGATAATTGGATTGAATGGATGAATATATTGGATGGATGGAGACAGACAGACAGACAGATGACAGGATAAATAGATGATAGAACAGGATGGATGGATGATACACACATAGGATGGATAGATGGGATAGATTGATGGATAGATAATTGGACGGATGAATAGACAGATAAGTAAACAGGTGATCGAGAGGACAGTCAGGATGGATGGGATGAGATGAATGAATGAATGACTGGATAAATAATAGACAGACAGACAGATAGATAGATAGAGAGAGAGAGAGAGAGAATTGGATGGATTGATAATTGGATGAATAGATTAGATGGACGGATGGACGGACAGACAGACAGATGATAATATAAATAGATGATAGAACAGACAGGATGGATGGATGGATGGATGGATGATACATAGCTAGGATGGAAAGATTGGATGGCTGGACAGATGGGTGGATGGGAAGACAGACAGATGATAGGACAAATAAGTGATAGAACAGACAGGATAGATGGATGATACACAGATAGGATGGATAGATGGGATGGATAATTGGATGGATGGATGGATGAATGAATGGACAGATAGATAGATAGGATAAACAGACAGGCACTCTCAGTTAACCTGCACACATGAGTATCGGTAGATGTTGGATAAATGTAGTTTCTGGTGGCTTAAAAGTTGCAATTAAAAATAGGAAGTAATACTATACTAATACTATATACTAATACTAATACTATATCCCATACTATACAATACCATAAACTCTACATTGACTTGATACTAATATTGAAATACAGAATGAAAAGCAAATGACAACCAAAGCCAGACTTAAATGTCATACAGTTTGACTGTATTATAAAAGTAGCTTTGTGAATATAATATTCCATAAAGTAGCATTTGGGGGGGGGGGGGGGCAGTTGCCAGTTGCTTGACA